ATAGGATCCTGGGGAAAGAGCAGTAGGATTAGTATTTTATTTATTTATTTTTAAATATTGTCTTGATGGATGCTCTAATAACTTTCTTCATTTTTTTCCCTTTCACCCATATGTGAAGGATACCACTTCCTTCCCCTCTTTTTCTATTTTCCTTTTTGAAAATATGTTTCTTTTCAATGTCTGTATCAAGTTCCACATTCAATTTTAAGTCTCTTCCCTTTCGTTAGAAGACCTAGTGGTTAATTGGCTGGCAACGTACTGGACTGCTAACCGACAGATCTGTGATTGAACCCAGTACCGGCTCTGTGGGGAAAGATGACGCATTGTCATCTGTGAAGATTTACAGCCTGGAGTAAAGGGTTCTCAGTGGTTTGGTAGTTCAGGCCTACTAATGCCTCCTGAAGTGAGCTAACACAATGTAATCACACCCAGAGGTGAATGAATCTATTAAGAGCAACCAATCAAGTATAAGATTATATTGGGATGCAACACTCTTCTTCAGGTCAAAGCCTGAACCAAGCAAGTGAAAGGAAGTTTACTCAGGTTGTTGTCTGCTCCCAACATAAGTGGATGCTGTGGGAAAACAAGCTTGCTTGCTTTTCACTGTGTCTTGCTCCTGCAGCTGACTCATGAATTTGGTTCTTTGTTCATCTGTATAGACTTTTGGAGGCTGTGTGGAGAGATTCAGATATAAGCATAATTTCAAAACCTGCATTCTTAGCCACCATATCCCTGTCTAGTATTCCTTTGGATTTTACTGCATCTTGTCTTTCTTCAACTTTTCATAAAATTTTCTTGGCTCTTGTGTCAGGATGGGGTATATCAAGAAACAAAACCAGAATATATATAGAGAAGTTTATATGAGGAAATAAATGTATATCAAAATTCATATCAAGTATCTCATAGGGACGTAGAGAGGCTAACCAGTCCGGGTCACTTCTGTGGATAATGCTGGGCCAAAGGCCCTTCCTGACTCATGACATTGTGGCCCAAAGAGCCAAAGATGAAGAATTAGCAGGACGAGACTGAATGGCAATGGCAGCTGTGAAGGTGGCACCGTGCTGATGGGTATGGTGGAGCTTCAGGTTCCACCTGCACCAAACCACAGGCAGTGCAAATGGCAAGATATTACAGTGGAGGCAAAGCTGGTGGTGACCCATGTGGACTGCACCCAAGCAAAGAAGGAGAGAAAAAAAATCCCCCTTGTGGCATTCACTTATAGCCAGATCAAGTATGCCACACTCCCCAAGAGTCATTATCAGGCGGTAACCTGATTGATAGTTGACCTCCAAACTTATCTTCTGACAGGTGCATTAAGTTGACAGAAAAACCTAGCATATGCAATTCACTCGGTGTCAAATTGGCACTTGTACACGGCTCCTTAAGTCACACATAATCTCCAAACCAATCAATAATAAAATCCCACTTCTGTTGAACATAATGCAACTAATACACACACAACTGGAAATGCACTAACCCCAGTTATATATTATATTTTATAAGTGAGCAAAAGCAATTCATGTATACATAAAAGAGGAAATATGTATAACAAACATAGTCTTCATTTCTGCCACTGTTCACAGGCTGTAGCTGGAATTGAGAGCAAGCTTCTTCCGCTACCACTTGTCCCCAAGAAATTTCATTGGAATAGATGGCCACAGGGTATTTGTTGGGTTAATTTACCACCGGCTAGCATGCAGGTGTTTTAACAATAAGTCTAAAGTAATTGATACTTATTACTCACTGGCTCCAATTAGCATAATGCTACCAAATTGATGGACCAATGTGACATCTTTATGGAAGGGAAAGAGATCAAGGTCCCTGTAGTCTAAATTATAGCAATGTGCTGGAGACCTGATATAACCCTAAAGGAGAATCAGGGAAATATATTGTTGCCTTTGACCACCAAAGACAAACTGATTCTGGTGGTTATTCGAAAGGATTTAAGAAAAGAGCATTGGCTGTATCAATAGGTACCAGAAATATTAATTAGTTCAAGCAACAAATTCACACCTGGAACAGCAGGTGCAACCAGAGTCACCACCTGATTAAGTTTATGATAATCAATTGTCAATCTCCAAGATCCATCTGATTTTTTTGCACAGGCCAAATGGGCAAGTTAAATGGGGATGTGGTGGGAATCATCACCCCTTCATCTTTCGAATCCTTGATGGTGGCATTAATCTCTTCAGTCCACCCAGGAATGATGTATTGCTTTTGGTTTACTATTTTTCTAAGCAGAGGCAGCTCTATTATTTTCCACTTGGAGTTTCCTACTATCATAGCCCGTATTCCACATTTCAGGGATCCAGTATGGGACTTCTTCTATTTGCTGAGTTTGTCTATTCCAATCATGCATTCTGGAACTGGGGAAATGACTACAAATGTGTTTAGGGACCCAGTGGACAATCTGTAAGATGAGCTTGAGCAAGACTTCAGTGATAACTTAACCTTCACATTCTCCCACTCTAACTGGCTTAGAATTGACACCAATTCCAGGGAACCAAACTTTTCGAAGGCCCACCAGTGTCCAGTAACCTTCCAAAAGTCTGATTATTTCCTTTTCCCCAATGAACAGTGACTCTGTGGAATGTCACAGAAACCTTTGGGGAATGCTGGGAGGAAGACTAGCAGAATCAAAATTTGGAAGTATAGTGGTGTCCTTAAAAGGGACTCAATTTCCCATTAATTCAAGCAGTTGTTGGTCTATAAGCTGATTTAACTCTGGGAATGGATGGAGGGGTCATGACTCTCCATTCAGGTGATTCAAATTAGGCTGCCATTCACCTGATCTTGAATTCTTCTGCTTGTACAGATGCAGTAAATATTTCATAGGCTTCCCAGATATTTCACTCTTATAGATACCTTGCCTAAGCAGCCAAAGCCATAGGTCCTCACAAGTCAGCTTATTCTGATTATTAGTTTGATTATGCTGTCCACTCCGGCAACCACGTCTACCCGACTCTGTTGATTCAGCCCCATTGCAGGCCTCTTAATTGAATTAGGGAAGTTCCCACTGTGAAATCTGGATGACATAATATAGCAATCACAGGAGTCATCACCGATGAATAGCGCTCTCTTCACAAAATGTTTTCTTACTATTTTAGTACAAGGGGTCTCTGCAGGGCACTCCACTTGTCGGTGTACCGTTGTAACAAGAACAGTTGGGCTAATCTCCTCAAGTGTATGGTCGGCGAAAGGCTAATGGTTTTACTGAGTACAGATTAATCTCTTCAAATGGGAGGGTGGATGCTGGTGGGTGGAGTGGCTAAATGGACTCCAGGAGCTCAGTATTCCCATATTCCATATTATCAGCCCAGACATTCCCAGCTCAAGTTTCAGAGTCCCATTTCTTCCGAATCATGGACCTTACTTTAACATCAGACACTGTAATAGGTTGAGAATCGAGCATTGTCATTCAGCTACTCTTATGATAAGACTCTGGGTTTGGTCCTCAGCAATATCAATGCTGTCAATGAGGCTTTCTGTCATGACACAAGCAGAAACTTTGGGGTCTTTTATTGGGCAGTTAAGCTAAGCTTCTGAAGCTCTGAGTCTATCTCTTTCCTTTATGAATATGTCTATTGTTACTAGTACCAAACAATCAGCTTCTTTGTATTTCTCACCCTGACAAACTTTCAGAAACATATCAAACACAGAATCACATAGAACCTCACTTCTCCCCAATACTGCATCGATCAGTGGTGCTATTTTGAGCATTACCTTTGCCACCTAATGCCATGGCTTAATAGCGTTCTCTTTACTGATTGTGACAGAATTAGTCATACGTTCAGAAACAGATGCTGAATTCTTAATGCTTTGGGGTTTCATTAGACTCGAGAATCTGCTTAGAAAACTCATCCACAGGATTCTATTGTTTACAACCATCCTTGGTAACACATGTGTTAGACTTTTCAGAGAAGCAAAGCCAGGATATCTAGAAACTTCTCTGCTTATATTAACATCTCATAAAAGGAATGTACACCAACACTGGCTCTCAGAGCTGTCGAGAGGCTAACCAGTCTTCTTCCTGTCTGTGGGTCAGATGCTGGGCCCAAGATCCAAGGAGCAGGAAGCAGAGGGGGCCAGGCCAGGGGGAGGCAACTGGGCAGATGGCAGCTGTGGTGGTTACACCGGAGTCTCAGGCAGCTGTAGTGAGGCACAGGCTGGTGCAAACAGCCGCCTGTGGCGGTTGAAGCAAAGCTGCCAGAGACCAATGTGGATTCCACACAAGCAAGAGAAGAAGAGAGAATGTCCCCTGTGGCGTTCACTTATAGCTAGAGCGTGCATACCACACACGAACGGAGACATCAGCGGGCTGCCTAATGTATAGGTTGGACCTCCTAGCTGGGACTCCATCCATCTCTTTTTATTGGTGAACCAAATGGACAGAAAAAACCCAAACATCCACCATATCGTGTTTATGAAACTGGAGAAACAATTCAGATGATATCTTGTACTTACTTGCTTCACTAGCTCTTTGTAGAGATACAGTGAACCCTCGCCACTTCGCGCTTCGACTTCCGCGGCTTCACTCTATCGCGGTTTTGCATAACAGCGCATGCTCTGTCATTACTGCCACTGATTGGCTCATACTGTACACGCTTGATGCCATAAATAATATAATAAATAATAAATGATCATTGTAACATCCAAAATGTGTTATTGTATTTTCCCTTTTTCGTTTACTAAATTGGGTAATACGAGTGTCATGGTGACTAAAGGGTGTTTTTTCATGTCCTCTATGCTCTAACTACGAAAATATTTGATTTACAAATAAGGAATCCTACTTCGCGGAATTTCATTTATCACGGTAGGGTCTAGAACCGATTAACCGCGATAAACGAGGGTTCACTGTATATGCAAAATTGTTTTCCTTGTAGTCTCCAGCTCCAAAACCAAACCAAAATATACAATCGAAACTAATAATAAAATAAACGACCAAACAACAACAACAACAACAACAAAGAGGGAAAACTCCTGATCAAAACCTGCATGCAGAGCACGTTCCAAAAGATTGTGGCTGGCTGGGCTTCCTTGCGCTACAGCTGAGTTCAAGAGCAACCTGGAGAGACGTTGATAGCTCAGGTCAGCATCGAATCTGCAGCTGCCACTCACCTCTTCTGTAAATGTCCCAGCACCAGCACAGGTAGCCTTCTGCCTAAGCTCAGTCGTGTCTATCAACTTCCATGTTGGTGGATGAACAGCTTATTCTAGAGATTTCATTTTTACCCCCTTCAATATGTGCCTGAATTTCCTGTATTCACAAATCTGAAGGCATTTGTGGAAACGGAGGGACTGGATGGGAATGTACGTGGCCAAATTCTCTATGCCGATAATTACAGGGTCTGGAAGGCTGACTCCAGTGAGGGAAGACCCTCATGGTTATGAGATAAAAATAGTTCTAAATGCACATTCTCACGACTGCAAATAGTCCCGACTATCGCCCTCCATATAGGAGTTGTCATAAAAGTTGGTTATCTGTATTTAAGAGCAATTAGATTCTCTTGCCGGTCCCACCCCAAAGGGTAGCAAACTCCTTTTTGACATCTTCTGATACAAGTCATAGATTGTTTCCCTGGGGAGGGCTCAAGGACACAAGAGGTCAAGACTCTGACTCAGTCTATTACCCACTTATTATATTACCCATTCCCTCTATTACATGTTCACCATCTTATGTGTCTGCCTATTGGAAGATTTGTAAGCCACATCATTATATATCCCCATTGGAAAATACATTAGGCCTCTTGATCCAGACATCGGGACAAAGAGTCCCTATAGCCTGTTGTCTTATTTTCTATAACTGTAATGCCCTCCTAAGCACCTGTTGGATTGTTGGGGGCCAGTACCCCAACCGTCACTAGCTTGTTTCTGTGGCTGTGCTTTAAAATAAGGTAACAACAGGTTCAGGATTTGATCTTCCATTTGCCTTTCACAATGAATCAAAACACTAGTGTAAGTTGTTAAAACATGAGGAAAAGTAACATTGAAACTTGCCTATGTGCTACAAAAGCCCCTCTATCATTTTCAAAAAGGTTAAAAATAAAACAAAAGAAAACAAACACCCAAACTTGTATGCATGCCTATTCCGGTATATTTCATTGTTAAACTCATCATAAATAGTATTCAGATGCTTGAACACACAAGCATCTTTAGGCACCTGCTGGATGGTGCTTTATGGAATTGTCTATTGTTTTGAGTGTGATACACTCTTCCAAGACATGGGCGTGGCTCAGAGCAAGCCTCATAGAGAAGGTGACATTTGATTTCAAATTCAAAGAGTAAGCTGGTTTTTTCAAAGTAAATTGAAAAGAGTGGGGACATTTTACTTGATCAAAATCATGGAGGTATTAAATTATTTGAGGTGTTTGTATAGGTATACTTGATGGCCTTAATATGTAGAGTTCAGCGGGTTAGCAAGGAGAGGATCTTTATTTTCTGATGAGTACAACTCAGTGTAAGAAGAAACAGCTGCAACAGTCTATTAACGATTGGAACTTGGAATGTAACAAGTATGAATCTAGGAAAATTAGAAGTAGTCAAAAATGAAATGGAATGCATAGAATTTGATATTCTAGCTGTTAGTGAACTGAAATGGACTGGTCTTGCCCATTTTGAGTCAGAAAATTATATGAGTTACAAGATAATGTTGAAGAAAATTAAAACAAGTCTACAAGAGCCAAAATATGACCTTGAGTCTCTCCCACCTCAATTTCAAGAACATCTCAAGAACACATGTGAGACATGGAACACTAATGACAGAAGACCCGACCCGATGAGCCATGGCAGGATATCAAGACCATCATTCATGAAAAAAACAAGTGTCGTTACAAAGACAGGAAAGGGAGAAAAGATCCAAGTGGATTTCAGAAGATACACCAAAACTTGCTCTCCTTTGTAGACTAGCTAAAATAAATAGAAGAAATGATGAAGTTAAAGATGAAAACATGAATAGGAAATTTCAAAGGGAAATTGGAGAAAACAGAGATAAATATTACAAGGAAATGGGCAAAGATCTAGATTTCAAAAACCCCAAAAGGGAAAACATGGTCAGGATATCCTAAACTGAAAGAACTTAAGAAAAATTTAAAGCTTCAAGTTGCAATATTGAAAGATTTTGTGGACAAAGTTTTGAACGATGCAGGAAGCATCTTAAGAAGATGGAAAGAATACACAGTCATGGAAACA